ATCCCTGGCGAGGCTGCGACCAAAAAAGCGTAATTCCTCCTGGGGAGCCGCATCCCCCGCGGGAGGGTGCCGGGGAGACTCCAAAGCAGGCCTGGCCGTCATTGGCGGTGCAGCCTCTGGCAAAGGCAATGGTCGCTGTGGTTAACTGAGCACCCTTCACCTCATTGAATCTTCAGGCCTTGAGGTGGATGCTGTCACCATCCTCATTTCACACAAGAGGAAGCTGATATGGAGAGATCGGCTCCCCCCTCTTGAAACAGCCAGTTGGCGCAGAGTTCAAGTGCTGTTCATAGAAGCCTCGCCAGTCGTTTAGCCTCTCATTCTGGCTCCTCTACTGAAGGGCAAGTCACCGCTTGTTGAAAGAATTGGAAATCCCCCTTTATCCGCGGTTTTGTGTCCATGGTTTCAGTTACTCGTGGTCTACCTCAGCCTGAAAATATTAAAGGGAAGAGTCCAGAATTAAACAATTCATAAGTTTTAAAGTGCCTGCATTGGAGTAGTGTGATGAGCCCTCCCGTGTTGTGAACTCTCCCTTTACCCTACCCACCTGTATGTGACGTAGCAGCCATAACAGTTACCAGGTCAACTGTCCCAGTATAAGCCCTTGTGTTCAAGTAACGCTTATTTTTTCTTTTCTTTTTTTTTGCAGCGGAGAAATATTGGCTATTTTATTACAAACAGCACCACCCAGGAGAACTGGAAGCTAATGCACAAAAACCTGAACTCCCCAATAGTGTATAGGTTACAGATTATAGAAGGTAAAATCACGGGACACTGGGTGAGAGGATGGAGGATCATTCTGGGAGCGGATTGGTCAGAGGTGAGGGAAGGGTAGTAAGTCATTTCTTCCGGTACTGGGGACAGTTCTGAGGTCTGTTCCTGTGTCCCTCCTGGTTTCATGATAGAGTAGCCAGGAGTCATTCCACCTTAGGGCTCAGGAGCTGAAATATAACTTAGGTCGAGATGTTGCCCCAGCTGGTTTGGCTCAGTGGATAGAGCGTCGGCCTGCAGACTGCAGGGTCCTGGGTTCGATTCCCAGTCAAGGGCACATGTCTGGGTTGCGGGCTCAATCCCCAGTAGGGGGTGTACAGGAGGCAGCCAATCAATGATTCTCTCTCATCATTGATGTTTCTATCTCTCTCTCCCTCTCCCTTCCTCTCTGAAATCAATAAAAATATATTAAAAATAAAAATAAAAAGATGTTACCGTTAGCCTGTCATAGTGTGGACCTTGTGACCATTAGTCAGATTCAGGCTAATGTTCTTGCTGATTATCCGGGGGAAGGCTAGGTTTCTGAGTGTGTATATATAAAGAGATATGATTTCTAGAGCTAAGATTTAAAGCTAAATTTAATCAACATCATAAGGACCTTTGGTTTCAGGTTTGTCTAAAGCCTATTTAATGCTTGAAATGTTAAAAGATACCACAAGGGTCAGAGCATGAGGAAGCTTAGGTGAAGCCATCAGCAGGATAGAGGAGGTGGTCTATGCTGGAATGCCTCAGGACCTCAGCTCTCACTCCATAGCACCCTTACCACCTAGGTTTCTACTATGTAGTGTGCTGGTTTAAATTATATCCTCTGACTCCCATGTACAACCTGTGCACCAATTATTGAGCTTATTCTACATGTCCCCTTTGCTCCCAATTTAAGTTGTATTTCTACCTTGTCAGAGAATGCTCTTTAATTCGTATCTCCGTATTTTAGTCTTAGATTTATAATTAAACCTATTCAATTTTCATTATCTGTTCTTTTGCCAAACTTTTCCAATCATCTCTTAATTAGCTGAAACTTGACCCCTTGTAGAATTGTCAGCAGGAGTTCTTGAATATAAGATTTCTTGAGTTCTGAAAGTTTAAAACTAAAATCCTTGGCTCATACTTTTTACTTGAGTTTTTAAAAAATGTTTCTTCACTCTTACTTTATGTAAGCCAGTCATGTAGTGTTCGTTTCCTTTTTTAAAATAATGTTTTATTTTTCAATTACAGTTGATGTACAATATATTAGTTTTAGGTGTACAAACCATATAAATGATTAGACATTTACATAACTTATGAAATGGTCACCCTGATAAATCTAGTACCCATATAACACCATAATATTTTTTTAAAATATTTTTGATTGATTTCAGAGAGGAAGGGAGAAGGAGAGAGATAGAAACATCAATGATGAGAGGGAATCATTGATCGGCTGCCTCCTGCACGCCCTACGCTGGGGATGGAGTCGAAACCCAGGCATGTGCCCTGACCAGGAATCAAACCGTGATCTTCTGGTTAATAGGTCAATGCCACTTCGGGCTGACACCATAATACTTAATAATTATTTAATAATGGCCCCAAAGCTGAAGAGCAGTGAAACTGGCAGTTTGGTACACCGAAGAGAAGCTATAAAGTGTTTAAGTGAAAAGGTATGTATGTATAGGAAAAAACATAATATTTATGGGGTTTGGTACTATCCACGGTTACAGTCATCCACTGGGGGTATTAGACAGTATCCCCATGGATAAGGGGGACTTCTGTACATAAAAGCATCTAATGGTGCCTTACGCACAGTAGGTGGCCCTTAACTCCTGCTCTAACCCCTTTCCCTCTCCCTAAACTGTACGTCTGTGCTCTGCTTCCTTTAAGGTAGTAATTGTCTCTCTCTTCACCCTAATATCCCAAGTGCTTAGAATAATGCCTAGCAGAGCATGGATCTAATACATGGAGGAATGAAGTGCTTCAATATCCTTCTCTGATCACGTCAGTCACTGGAACCTTTCTTCTTAACATCAATAGCACTGACAACCACCACCCAATAAATAGGATTGCAACTCATGATCAAAAGAGCCATTTGATCCAAACATCCTTCCAGAGTTCGAATCTCCTCCACATCATCTCTCCTGTCTATATGTGGATATGTCCAGTGTCAGGGAACTCACTGACTTTTTAAACAATATATATTTTATTGATTTTTTACAGAGAGGAAGGGAGAGAGATAGAGAGTTAGGAACATTGATGAGAGAGAAACATCAATCAGCTGCCTCCTGCACACCTACCACTGGGGATGTGCCTGCAACCGAGGTACATGCCCTTGACCGGAACCGAACCTGGGACCCTTCAGTCCGCAGGCCGATGCTCTATCCACTGAGCCAAGCCGGCTCGGGCACTCACTGACTTTTGGAGACAGCTTCATGCTGTCTTTGAAGTCTAGTCCTGGCACTTAGAAAGTTCTTTAGATCTTTCCTACTTCTAATCCATGGGTTCATGCAGAACAATTCTAATACCTATTTCATAGAACCAGATCTAATGGCCCAGTCCCCTTCCTGGGATCAAACAACTTACAAATAACCTAGGTTTGTGGTTTTGTTTTTTTGTTTGTTTTTTTAAAAGATTCCTACTTGCCTGAAGACTCCGATGATGGCATTTTTTAAAATATATATATATTTTAGCCAAACCGGTTTATATATATTTTATATAAAATATATATATATTATTGATTTTTTACAGAGAGGAAGGAAGAGGGATAGAAAGTCAGAAACATCGATGAGAGAGGTCGATCAGCTGCCTCCTGCACGCCCTGACAGGGGACGTGCCCGCAACCAAGGCACATGCCCTTGACCGGAACCGAACCTGGGACCCTTTAGTCCGCAGGCCGATGCTCTATCCACTGAGCCAAACCGGTTAGGCATAGGTTTGTGCTTTTCAATCCTTTCCTTATTCCAGACATATCAGAGGGACACCCTGACCCATGGCTGGCCGTGGCAGTGATAGGGATAGGAACATGCCTGCCCTTCCCCCCAAATCATCAGGCTCTTCCTGGGGCCTTTTGTGAGGAAACACCTGCAGATGGTTCTGCTTTTCCCAGATACTGCCTCACAGTAAAGTGAGCTGTTGGTGTACAAATGGGGGCTTTGTTATCCTTGTGGTCTGATTTGTCAACAGCAGCTGCATCTGGCTCCGGGGCGGTCCCAGAGGAAAGGCTGCAGGGGCTTCATCCCAGGCACGTCCTAGGAACTGAAGTTCTGCCTTTGCCGTTTTGAGGTGATGCCTCAGGGCTTTTTCAGCTCAAACACACATCCTCCATTATTCGGGATGGCAATAATGATCTTTGAGCTGGCTCTAGCTGCTCACACGATCTCTCCATCCTGACAATGACCTGCATCTCCGTCACCTCTGTGTCATGATGCCTGGACTATAGCGCTGCTCCAAGCTGTGTGTGATGAACAATCCTCTGAGTCTGGTAGAGGTGACTCCTTTGACTCCTGGCTCTTTGACTCTTGGTCTTAAAATTAAACTTACTTTCGGTGTGTTTATTTTAAATAAATATTAATGTGCAATTAAACTTATACCGTACCTCACAAATACCATTAATATTTATTCTTTATTAAATGGCTTTTAAAAATCCTCCCAAAGGTTGTCACCAGCTAGAAGATAAAGTCCGAACTCTTTAGCCTGAAACGTAAGGCCTTCAGTGACTTGGCCCCTGATCACCCCTCCAGACATGTCTCAACAAACATCTCACCAGATGTTCCCCTTTGGGCAAGGCCAAGGCGGAGGGTAGTTTAGTTATTGTACCGGACTGTGTGTTAGAACACCAGGTTCACGTCTGAACTCATATTAAGAAGCCGTGAAACTTGGGGTAAATCACTGAACTTACCGTTTTCTCATTGTAAAACCTGCCCTGCTCATTGCACAGGGTCAAACAAGGCAGTTGAAGGTAGCGATCAAAAGAGACCACGTACCAGTGCATTTTGTGGGCAATAAAGCACTGTACAAACATAAGGGGTAACAATACTGTGTTCCTGCCTCTGCCCTTTGCTTGTGTCATTTCCACACCCTGAAAGCTTTATCCCTCTACCTTACCATTCACTCATTTACTCACGCAGACACCCAACAGATATTGATGGATGTCGCAGGAGCCTGAAGGCACTGTTTTCTCATTGTAAAACAGGAATAACACTGTGTGCTGCCCCCGATACACAGGCGAGGAAAATCCAATCTGTTCTCCGCCCTCACAGAACATAGGGTCTTGTAGGGGGAAATGGTTACAAACTGAACAATCATCCAGACAAAAGTAAAATTGCAGCTGTGACTTAAAAACTCAGGAGTGGGTCCAGAGGGCCTGCCCTCAGAAACTATAACAGGGGACCCAGGATTTAAGCTGTCTCCAGGGCCAAGTTCAAAGTCTGCTTTCTCCAGGAAACCTTTTCTAACGGTGCCCCAGAGAGCTGCACCCTCGCCCTGCCCCCAATTTCAGTTAACTTATCTCCGTAGCTCCTGTCATCATACCCAGTCAGGCCTTGTTATTTTGTTTTCTAGTGAGCCTGGTTTTCTGGATTTCACTGTAAGTGCCTTCTGGGCAGGGAATGCCTGTCATGCTCTCTTATATACCACACCACCAAGCAGAAGGCAAACTCAATGTCACATGAGCTCTAAGCTCCTGTGTCTGGGATGTCATTTTTTTTTTTTAATATATTTTATTGATTTTTTACAGAGAGGAAGGGAGAGGGATAGAGAGCTAGAAACATCGATGAGAGAGAAACATCGATCAGCTGCCTCCTGCACACT